GTGGGACAGAGGCGTGGGGTCAGGAGTCACACGAGGAGATACAGGAGGAGAGCGCGGGTGAAAACGAGCTCGTGACGAGTCCGGCGGAGGAAACGCAGGGCCGTAGACAGGCGGGGGAGGCGCAGGCAGGCGGTCACGGGAGGGAAAACCGAGGAGGCGAAGGGCGGACACCGGTGGCGACTGCTGCTTCTGCTCCACGATAGCATCCCCATAACGAGAACCCTCTCCAGTACCGATGCCACCCCCATGACCGCCGGCGCAAGCCACGACAGTACCCCCAAGACTAGCACCCCAAAAAGAAGCACCCCCAAAACGAGAACCCGCTCGAGCACCGGTGCCAGCCCCAGGACCGCCGAGACAAGCCACGACAGGACCCTCAGGATGAGCACTGTCATAGGTTCGAACGAGGTTTGCTCAATAATGCACTATTCATGAGTAGAAGGTGCTTCTATACTTCCAAAGTACATCAAGTAACCAGATTTATCAAATCCAAAGGGAATAGAACCTTCTAGAAATAGAATTACTTTGCGTATAGCCATGCAAGGCTATTGGCTTTAAGGGATTACGGCAGGATTACGCTAGATATATAGCGCCCGTACATCCCGAGCCTGGTCAGTGATATAATCATAATAACAGGATAAACCAAAGGATAATGGAAAGAGGAGGACTAGGAAACCAAGTGAGATGAGATAAAGACCAAATGAATCAGGATAAAAAGAGGAATGAAATAGAAAGGAAATATGGAAAGGGGGAATTGGTGTAACAGTGTCGTACTCTTACAAGCACCCTCCTCAACGCTCGCACCCCCTAAGCTCTCGGAACCCTACGACGGCTGCTGCTGCGGCTGCGAGAACGGCGACTTCTGCTGCGGCGGTGGCGGCGACGGTGGATGCTGCGGCGGCGACGGAGGAGGAGGAGGAGACACCAGGGCGGAGACAGGCGGCAAAGCCATCCCTCGTCGTGGCACCATCTGCGACGGTCCTGGTCACACCGCCGCCGGCTGCTACCGCCGCCTCGACAGCCTCTTCCGTCTCCGCTTTGGTCCCACGTCGGACCCTCCGGACTGGTACGCCTTGGCGCACCGCCGTGTGCCTGTCTTTGAGCTTGACATGGATCAGATTAGGGCTGCTATGTATGTCATGTATGCTGATGACTCTAGCGTGAATGGACCCTATTACCCGGTGTTGCCTAGTGTACGTTTGTCCAGTGAGTGTATTTTAGTTTCCCCTGCTGCGTCAGGCGTAGGACCACCTGCATTGTTTAGCTTCCGCTCCACGCTAGCTCCTCCGCCTGCGGTCGCTACCGCCGCGCTCTCCTTCACGCTAGAATCTGGTGCGTCGGCCATCTTCTTTCGCGACCACACTTCGCTCACGCCGCTTCCTGCCCTTACCGCTATAGCGCTTGCTGACCCCTCCTCAGGTCCGGTAGTTGCCCGTCGCTCCAGTACCCTTCCCTGCCCGACGGTTCCCTCGGGCTCTCTTACAGGCTTCCACATCCCCTCATTCTCAAAGAACCTAGCTAGTGTCGGCTGTCTTTAGGACCTCAACGTCACCACTACGTTCCCTGGACACGAGCGGTACATAGTCTATACTGAGGCCGCCACTAGTGCCCCTCTCACCACGTTCCCCCGGGACTCCATGTCTGGCCTGTTCACGCTGGACACCGCGTCCCCCCCAGTCGGAGCGTACCCCCAGGTCTCCGCGTCCTCCCTACTCGGTAGCTGCAGCCTGCTCGTGCCGGTCGCTCATCCACCCTTCACTGCTGTGGCACTATCGCCTAGGTCACCCCGTACTCCCGCGTCTGCGTCACATATCCCATCACGGGCTTGTTTTTGGTCTCCCTGCATTGCTCCCTACCCTCTCTCCCTCGCCTGCACCGCCATGCACGCCCTGCGTTGAGGGCCGTCTCTGCCATGCTCCTCACTCCTCCTCGCTCCCCCCTACCACTGCGCCACTCCAAACCTTGCACCTGGACGTTTGGGGCCCAGCCCCCGTCCCTGGGCCACGTCGAGAGCGCTACTTTCTATTGCTTGTCGACAACTACACGCGCTACACCACGGTGTTTTTTCTGGAGCGGAAGGCCGACGTGTCTAACGTTCTTATCCCGTGGGTCGTAGCTGCACGAGTCCACCGAGGCTTCCCTGTGCTGAATATTCACTCCGACCGTGGCGGCGTCTTCGTTCCACGTCTGGGGCTGCCTTGCACACGTTCGTGCCTCTGGCACGGACAAGCTCACTGCCTACACCGTCCCTTGTGTTCTTCTTGGTTTCTCCCTCGACACGTCTGACTGGCAATTTTACCACTCGCTGTCTCACCATTTCTTTCACTCTCGTGACGTCACTTTTGATGCGTCTGTCTCCTTCTACACCCGCTTTCCCCACCGAGGTCTCCCGGTTGCCCCGCCCTTGTTCCTGGTCCGCACTCCCCTAGCAGCCCCTGCTCATCTTCCTCCCCGTCCTGCCCGGTCTGGTGTGTCTCACGTCACTCCTCTCCAGTCGGTTGTCTCTGTGGAGGAGTCGGCTGACTCCGGGGGCCTCGCTGCCTGTCTCCGCCCCGGTGTCTCCTCCTCCGCCTCAGCCGTAGTAGTCGTTGACGCTGCTGCCGCCGCAGCCGCCGTCGCCGCCGCCGCAGCAGGAGCTGCCGCAGAGGTCCGCGAGCTCTGGGGTTGCGGGCATTGAGGAGGGTGCTAGTCCTGGGGGTATTGTCGTGGCTTGTCTCGGTGGTCCTGGGGGTGGCACTGGTGCTGGAGTGGGTTCTCAATCTGGGGGTGCTGGTTCGGGGGGTGCTAGTCCTAGGGGTACTGTCGTGGCTTGTCCGGGCAGTCCTGAGGGTGGCACTAGTGCTGGAGAGGGTTCTTGTCCTAGGGGTGCTGTCGTGGGGCGTCCCGGAGGTAGGCGTAGTGTAGCTGGAGGTTTTGGTGTCAGTGAGGAGCAGCAGCCACAGCAATCGCCGCCAGTGTCCGCCCTTCGCCTCCTCGTTCTTCCCTCCCCTGACTGCACACCTGGGCCTCCCTCCATGCTGCTAGTCCCTGAGGGTGACCTAGATGCCTTTGATATCCCAACCCCTCGCACTTACGCTGAGGCAACCTCGGGACCTTGGGCCTCTCAGTAGACAGTTGCCATGGACGTGAAGATGGCATCTTGGAGATCCACCGGCACCTACGTCGACGCAGTTCCCCCATCTGGGGTGAACGTGGTCGATGGTCGGTGGCTCTTCAAGGCGAAGCGCCCTCCTGGAGAGCTGCCGGTGTTCAAGACGCGCTACGTTGCTAGAGGCTTCAGTCTGCGCGAGGGTGTTGACTTCTTTCAGACCTTTGCCCCGACCCCGAAGATGACCAAGCTTCGGGCGCGGCTACACGTAGCAGCACATCAAGACTACGAGCTGCACTATCTCGACATATCGACAGCGTTTCTTTAGGGCAGTCGTTACGAACAGGTCCACCTGCATCGCCCACTTGGCTTCACCGGCACCTTCTCCCCGGGGATCCAGTGGCTCCTCCGGCGCCCGGTTTACGGCCTGCGGCAAGCGCCTCGAGAGTGGCACGTCACTCTTCGTGATATGTTAGCTGATCTACAGTTATTTCCGTCCTCTGCAGATCCTTCGCTCTTCGTTCGTTCAGGCCAGACACCGTTCTATATCATTGTCTATGTAGACGACCTGGTATTCACCGCTGTAGACAGAGACACACTGGCCTTTGTGAAGGCTGAGCTCCTGAGGAGACACACCTGCGCTGACCTAGGAGCGTTGCACCGCTACATTGGCCTGCAAATCTCTGGGGAGAGAGCAGCACCATCACCCTCACCCAGTCACACTTTGTGAGCCAGGTCCTTTCGAGGTTCGGTCTTCAGTTCTCCTCCTCACAGAACCCGTCCTTGAGGATTTAGTACAGCCTACTGGTCTGTACGCAGAGCTGGTGGGTTGCCTCATGTACCTGACGACTTGCACTCGTCCAGATCTCGCATACCTTCTCAGCATCCTGGCTCGCTTTATGGCCACGGGAAGACACCGACCACAGCACTGATCGGTCGCTAAGAGGGTTTTGCGTTATCTAGCAAGTACATCGGGCATGGGGCTAGTGCTAGGAGGACGCAGGCTAGTGGTCCTTACTGGGTACAGAGGCATTTCGTGGGCAGACGACGCTAAGACGCTTAGGTCATCTCAGGGCTACTACTTTAGCCTTGGTGCAACAGCCATTTCGTGGAGGTCCACTCGCTCGTCGTCTGTTGCCCGGTCTAGCTCTGAGGGTGAGATCCACACCGGTGCCATGGCAGCACTGGAGCTCCGCTGGCTGGGTTTCTTGCTCATAGACTTAGGTGAGCAGCCTAGCTCTGCCACAGTCCTGTACGCTGACAACAGGGCCATGATCCTCCTGTGTCAGGAGGCTCAACTGGAGGGCAGAGCAAAGCACATCCAACTGCAATACTTTTTCCAATACGAGCTACAGCAGCGCCGCCAGGCCCGCGTAGTACACTTGGCCTCCGGTGCCAACACAGCTGATATCTTTACGAAGGCGCTTGCGCGTAAAGATAGCTTGGTCTAGTTCCTGTAGCTTCTCACTTGCTAGGACCTTGATTGTGTATGTACTATATCTTATGTTACGTTGACTGGCCTTGTGGCTCCTGCTCCAGTGGCTCGACTAGTAGTGCCACCCTGGATTACTCTTGTTTAGTTTGTACTCTTGCTGACTGGTCTTTAGACCATTGCGTGTCTCTTGCTAGTCGCTGCCCCTTATCTAGCCTAGGTGGTGTGTCAACTTATATTTTGTATATGTTATAGGCTAGATAGGTGCATGCTCATATAGAGTACAATACCTTATATTATATTCCCTTGTGCCCAATCATTCTAGTCAACTTTTTACTCTGAGACTACAGGCGCTAGTGACGGGCGCCTCAAAACGGGCAGCTAGAGATAGGCGGCTAGGGTTAGGACTAAAGCGGAAGTGCGGGTGGGCGGGGAGGACCTAGCCTAGCGTGAGATACCATCTCATAGTAGAATTGTGTGATAGAATGTGAGATACAGGATGGTTTTGTCTAAGTGGTTGTACTCTCTAAGAGTGCGAACCTATCTAGCCTACAGTAATATATACATATATGTTTGACAAATTTTCCCTGGGGCCTTAGTATAGAACTTGCGAATCATCCTGAGGAATCAGTATGCATTGAAGCTGCCAGCCCTGAGTGCGCAGGATGCCTGAATTCCTATTTGAGGCCCTGGAGCTGAAGAAGTTGAAGTTGTTATGAGGTCAGGTGAAAGCTGTGAAATGCCGGAATAGTTCCTCGACAACATCACGCTGTTTCTTCCTCTCCAGTATGAGCCGAGCCATCCATGTGCATGATGTTCCACATGACCGCTGCTTCCTCCCAAGTGTGGCCGTTGCCAAGGAGGGTCTGCACGTCCATACAATGCTCAGTGACTTGGTATGTATGCTTGGATTGGAACAGAAGCGCTTACGGTTCTTGATACCGTATCAGTCAGGTGTCAGAGAACAATGAAAATCGGACTGCCAGAGAAGAAGCTGACGGGAAGATGTGAAACGCCGTAGTAAACCGGAATAGTTCCTTAACGTCATCACGCTGTTCTTCCAGCTCTACGATATGAGCCATCCACGTCCATGATTTTTGAGCTGCTTCCTCCAAGCCATAGCTAGGACCTGCAAGTCCATACAATGCTCAGACGTCTGTCCCTTAAGCTGAATGTCTCTGTTTCTACCTTTAGTAGCCTCACTTGCTACAAGTCCCATACATCTATTCCCCTGTTCCTATTAACGTCCGACGTCACCCGAGGAGTCCTTGAGAAGCAACCGCTGGTAATTTCTTCCAAACACCTGCGATTTCTAAAGAGAAACGTCGTTATATAATAGTTTCACTCTGTCTTTCATTTTGTTCGTACGTTATCAGGCCCTTAGTGAGAATCAGAGTCACTGAAGATTCACGGCGTCAGGGAAACGTCGTCAAATACATCCTGGAGATTATGGCAAATTGTAAGTAGGACGCAAAGGTTAGGCTGCAAAACGATAGGCGACTACCGTGTCCCATCACTAATCCTTGACACGTTCTTTGTAATAAATGAAGCTCTGAGTTGGCAATAAGCACACGCACGTGCCACGTCGAAAAGAACCTGAATGGATGAGCTGACTGAGCACGCAGATGGCCAGCGTAGCAAACCTCCAGGGTTGGAGGAAACACTGGAGACACTACCTTGTTCACTAGATGCTAAGGGAAATGACTGAAAATCCTGCTGGCTGTCCAAGACTTCATCAGTGGTAAAGCAAGCAAGCAACCCATTTCGCCAGCAGCCCATTGGGGTCGCCAGGGAAGCAAGAATCCCTGCTGGATCAAACCCCATCAAACCCTAGCACTGAAGTTTGTTCGTCTGGCTGTCGTCCTGTCAATGGGTTGGGGGATCTTTCGCCTGCGCAATTCTTGACTAGCCAACCGACAGGACCTCGGTTCACTTGATGGGCAAATCTCGGTTCAGCTGAGAGATTTTGTCAGGTTGTGTCCAGCGCGTTCATTTTGCACCAACCCGAGTTTTTGACGTTTTTTTAACACGCCGAAATATTGATTCCCCAAGTGTGAATGTGTTGAGGTACACCTACAGTATCAACAGCAAAACGCGCGGACACGAGCCTCGCCCGTGTCTCGACAAATGAGCGGGTGCACAGCGCGCACATAACAGACTGACATGCGAAAACAGCAGGGTAACCGAATTTCGCCCCGGGAAAGAGGCCCCGCCCGCTTTCGCGAACACGCATTACGAGCCGCGATTCCACCCAGGGGGGAAAAAATGGAGGGCTCAATTTCCCCCTCGCCAGAGGAAAAAAAAACAGAAACACAATTCTTCTTCCGCTGTTTTCGCCATGTTTCGCAAGCGTTACGAAAGCCTGGCGAATGTAAGTGTTCTATTTTTCGCCAACCAGGTTTTGGACTTTTCTGCAGTGTATATAATTTGGGCATGATTTTCATTCGGTTCGGAAACGTGCGGCCCAGGTCTGTGGACACTTTTGGAGGGTGTCCGCCAAAACCGTCAATTTATCGTGCGTGTCCTAATGGACACGAAATTTTGGGTTACCAGGTCGAAATTTCGTACCTGATATGCAAAGTGAATAGTAAACGAACGCATTGGACACGCCCTCATGTTACAGTACACCAACCAATCAAACCACGATCTCGGCCTCAATATGGTGGCAAACCCAGTGCAACTTCTCATCTAGGATCTTGAACAGCTATACCAATATGAATACTTCATACACTGGGGTCATCAACTGTGATACACCTTCATCACATAGTTATTACTCCACATATGACAAAAAAAAACTAGCCAGAGTAGTGCTGACATAATGGTATCAGTGAAACGGTAGACGACTCCTCAACTAGTATGCTGTGTTGTGGCCTTGTATGAGCGAACTCATGCAGATGTTGGTACGGTTCCCTCAGCTGCGATTGAAGGATCACATCAACGTGAGAGGGAAGGAGAAGTCAGAAGAATTCCAAAAACCAAGACGTCATGCAAGAGTGGGTTGATGCAAGTACTGGAGACCAATGCAAGTGGGGAAAGAGAGCTTCCACTCCACAATGCTCCCACCAACACCCCATAAGAGCCAACGTTTTCCGGGAAGCAGGGAAAAGGAGAAGAAATACCCAGAAGCAGTGCAAATGACACTGATAATCCCGCGCATTATATCACTTACCCTGCCACTCCCACACCACCTTCGTCTCATCTGCCACCATCCATGGGTAGATCAGAATCCTGCTGTCCCCTCCAACCCACTGCTGCACCTCCCTCCACAGCTTCCTCACCCTGTGCTGCCGTCTCTTCTCACTCCACTGTACAACCGGAGACCACACTGTACAAAGTATTGTGACACGTACTGTAGCAATGACTGTAGATGGCACATCAAAGAATGGATCGGCCCAGGCAGGTGGTGGAAACAAGTGGTCTCGGAGCACATCTATCATTTTCATTTTCATTATAGTTTGAGAAGTAATGCGCCGATTAACCTTTTACATTCGAACAATAAAGGCTCTTGTGGCTATTATGTAAAAATATGGCATTCTTGCACATGATAGTGTATTCTTCTGACATTTGAAAGTCAAGTGTAGTGAAATCTAGTGTATCTTATATCCTTTAAGACTTCTGCTTTCTACCCCCAATACAGTAACCCAGTCGGTTGCCCCCCCCACCTCTCACCCCTCCCCTCTCCCATAGCCCCTCCACTTGCTTTGTTATCAAGGCTGAACAGTACCACGCACGAGTGGGGAAGAGTCTCGGAATCTCAGCCCAGCACGCGCAACGAGTGTCCTTCCTTGGGTAACCAACCACCACCCTCCGTTTGTTTCATGCCCACTGACACTTTCCCCAAGGTACAGCTGAAACTCGTCAGAGTCGCACAAGATTTTAGGGTGCCGGAGATTCGATCGGTCAAGTACTTCGCAGTCCCTCGCCACGGGCAAATGAGGATTTCTCACGAGCAGATGGCAAAATGGGTGGGTATTTGTGGGAGGGGGCTTGTGTGGCGATGTTTGTTGCCAGTGTGCAACTCTTTTGAAGCAATCAGGTGACGGTGGTGCACAGTTTCGTGGCGTCGTCTGCAACGACTTGTCCCTTGCTATATGTTGGTCGCAAACGCAATCATGAGTGGCTCAAACGGATCTTCCATTGCATGAAAATCGGGGATTTTGGAAAACGATTTTGATTGGGCGCCAAGTTGAGCTGCGATAAGGTTGGGCATCGTTTGTACACACACTGATGAACTGTTTTGTTATCTTCCTGCCCAGAACTTCTACACTTTGTCTGGCTTTCAGAGATGAACTGTTGTCCCGCACTACAACTCCGATTAAGAAATATTTTCAAGCCACACCCTGACAAATTTATTAGGTATTAAATGGCACATTGTAGGTACAAATGTTTTCCTTGTGCCTTCAATCCTTGATCGTGGATCACGACACGAGAACGTGGATCGTCGGATCGGTGCGGAATCAACGGCACGAATGCAGCAGAGACTACACTACGAAACATCATCATCATGGAGACAACATTCGTGACCAGGGATTGCACAATCGACGCATCTTCTGACTAGTGTCGACAACTATCGATTTATTTTGACGAAGTCATCTTCGTTAAAAATGGATCGACATCAACACAACGAGATCTTCACCTAGGAAAAACAATAGAGTTGCGCGAAGACATGTTCTCCATCCATGAGACACTTCATCTCATAAATTTGATCGACAACCTATGGGATTGCAGAGAAGTAGCCGTTTTCTCTTGCAATGCTCCCAAGTTCAAGTTGCTGCGAAGGAGCAGATTTTGCACACAACGACGACGCAGTGAATCCGTCTCGTCAAGGCCAGCGAGACACTGCTTCGTAACACGAGATGACCGATTCGTCTTCATCAAGAATCTCAGCCATCCGAAGTGATTGATTGGAGCAGACTCAACATCGACCTCACGAGGCGACACACCAATCATGCGTCGCGATTCCAATGACCTGCGTGGAAAATTTTCCGTGCATGTTACGATGCTTGACAGATTGAGGAGTAATTAACCTCGAATCCGGCAAGTACTCGCTCACTAGCGACCCTACGGCACATGCATTGGAGGCAATTCTACCAGAAGCCGAAGCGTTATAAGCATCAGCGTAACTTCGACGATGCAGGAGAATGCCAAGCAACACGAGGTGTCAACAAATGAGGGAGATGCGAACTGCTACAACACGATCACGCGCTCTACCGACCGTACATCGGAGGCATGGATGAGCATACCAAGAATTGCTACCCGTGGATACATTGAAGGGAGAAGCAAATTTCTCTTCACACCCTCAAATGAAACCATCACCGGCAGCAATGGAGCAACACATGTGTACCAAAATGCACGTGTTTCTGGTAGTTACGCCTGTTACACCCATCAGGAAAACTCTACTGGGATGAGGGAGTTGATGGATTCTCCTTCAACCATTACGAGTTAAGAGAATTCTCTGCAGCAGCTGCCGCCGTCGCCATCGTTGCAACCACCGTCGCCGTCGCAGCAGAAGACTCGACTCAACAGTCATATCCAAACCCTGATGGATGATTCTCCGCTCAATGGAGATAATGCTGGATTATATTCCAGTGGATCGTCAAGTCCTGGTCACGCACAACATTAATTTACAGCTAGTGGGAAGGAGATACCACTGTGCGAGGGAACAACGTGGCAATGCCATTTACCCTCAAGAGCATAAGATATTTGCTCTTATGAGGATGGGAGGACAACAGTACTCTACCGGTCCTCATGGCCTATGGCTTTCCTTAAAGTCATAAAACATGCGTCGCAACAAATCTATCACCAGCACCAACTCCACGGAAACATATAGGCGTGAAATGGAGCGCCGACGCCACTCCGGATAGTGGACTCCGCGTATCTCCAACAACACCCCTATTTGCCGAAATGGAGCAGACTTCAACACTGATACTGAGTAGCTGAGACGTCTTCGACATCAACGCTACTTCAAGGACAATGACAAAATGAGACAACACATGATGTCACCAGAAGACCTATTCCGATATGTGCGCCCAGACACTGATGCCTACGGATGGCCTCCATGTTACAGTGACGGAAATAATTGTCCGGATGTTTTGCATTAACGAGGGTTTTTTGGCATTCCGACCACTATACATAAAGTCTTAATGTTTAATGGTGGTATGCTTTGGGAGTGGCACATAGTGGATGTGTTCATAGTGCTATAATCCATAATAGTACACTGGATCTAACTTAGTGTCAAAAGATATCCAAAGAGTCCATACGGACAAAGCGCAAACTTCCGAACAGTGTTTTTAATACTTATTCCACCGACCCTTGGTCTTGATCACCACACGCACCCTCCTAGGCATGTTGTCTACGAGGTTAGAGCAAACCTTTGCAGGGATATTTTCACACTCTTCTTGGACACACCCTTTTGCATTAAGGGGTGAGCACTAGGAAAATCGCGAAGGATTTGAGCATATGCAAGATTATTGTGCACGATTTCTGATTAAATGTGATCTCTTAGACTAGCCACACTGAGGTGTGTCTTTTCATGAAAAGACGGGACCATTAGCCGTTTGGTCCCATCTTTTCATGGGTCGTCTTCGTCGTACCGTTGTAGGGTAAAATTTCGAACAGAGTGGCGAAAACTAGCGCATCCGACTCGAAACGTAGGGTAACATAGCACGGTCGACTGTGCACCCTTTCACTATTAGAATCACGTTAAAATCCATGGGCTCGTCACGGTGCAGCAGTCAAAGAAGCCTCGGCTGGTGGGCAAAAATATCCGGGTTGAGGTCTGGTGAGGAAGAGGGTCACT